CCCACAAATTTCTCATATGTCATGGTGGCCCAGGTAATCCGCATTTATGACAGGTAGTCTATGTATAGGTTTTTGGTCTTGCGCTGCTGAGGAATGGTTTTATAGTTGGCTCAAAAGACTTGCAAGCGGTGCAAAACACTGGAAGAATGTGCTAGTGATGAATAAAAAGACAATACACTTTGTAGCCTGCAGCAACCAAATTACCGATAAAGAATGCAATTGTATGAAGTATTATATGATGTTAACACAACAGTTAGATTCCCTATAGCAGCAATTTCCAGTTTTTTTCTTATTTTTGGTATCATTTTTGGTATAGGACTTAGATGTAGAACTTACAAACTTAGAACATTGGATAGGGCATTGTAATATAGTTTACTAATCTACCCAATCTACCCAATCTGTACTATACAATACAACTGACATTGATGATCCAATATCCCTAATCATGCACCACCAGATGTTATGTTACATTAAGTCAATTCTTTTAGGATTCCTATATCATGGTGATAGCCTGTCTACAGGTAACATTGTCTCGCCCTTATTCTCTGGTGTCATGCACCAGAGATTTACTCTATTCACTTATCGCTATAAGTACACATGTACATTTGTTAGATGTTAGGCCCACTTGGCATCTGGAGCTATAGCTATAGTGCTTGTGAACTTTGGCATATATACTGGGAGGACCAGTATATATATATAGCTACTTTGTATCACACAACATTGAACCTGCAATATATAAAAAAGTACTACGACTCTCAACACAATACTATCATGATTGCAATTGCATAATCAGATTAATATTTACTTCCCATGCAAGCATCCTGAGCAACCTGCACATCAACTTTGCCAGCTTGGCGTTTCTTGATACATGAGAGGACACTATTGTTTGGGACAGGGTATTCGGGCATTACTGTTGCTTGGTAGGGAAATATTTGGCTACATGACTGTAAGTTGTGGAGAACCAAATTGTCAAAAAATGTACTGGTTCCACCATATAAGTAATTCCAACACTTCTTCAATTTTGTCCAGATCGTCAAAGAGATTGAGAATAGAGTTATAGAAGCTTTCAGAATCAGTTACTGTATCACTTTTCATAAAAACAGGCAAGAAAGTGAGAGCAAATCTGACCTTCAGTCTCAAATTAACAATAGCAGTGAGTGAGTAATCAGGAAGGTACTTACTTGGGTAGCCGCATAGGCAATTGAAGCAGATGTAGCTTTGATCATTTAATGAATTTTTGCATTACCAGATCAGGTTGCTTTGGGCTCTTTTCTATTGACTGAACTTGGAGATGTGAAGATGTATTTATAAGCCTGTGATAATCAAGCAACCATCTAACTAGAAAGCAAATGAGCACCTACTGATAATAGCAAACAACTTTGAAAAGCACCCCTCCAGAGATCATCTAGATTGTAATTGTAGCCTTGATAGATGAAAACCGGCCATTGATCACCCTACACTGTAAGTTTGCCATTCCTAAATTTTTCTCTAGTCCTTATTATATATGCAATGGGTATATGCAACCTTTAATCAAGCAGAATAAATTTTACTTATCATTAGACCACTCCAGTCCAGCAGAACACAGAAGAGCTCTAGTGTGCTTGTGGAAGAAACCTTGATCAGTCTTGATATTTCTCAATAATGGTGGATTAAGTGTTTGCTCACAAGGAGTTATCCAATCTAGAATAGATCACTTCAGGCCTTTTGTGTTATCTGAGTGTGCACTTGATGCACCTTGTTGAATCTGTTTGAAAATGCTATCAGCTGATGAGAAAAGAGTATCATATAACCTACCAAACTGGCCACCAAATCTGTTTCCTCACTTGAACTCTGCTGCAGACAAGCCTGCAGGCCAGGCACCATTTGCAGTAAATCCTTGAAGACCGCATACTCCCTCATTTCCCTAAGAAACAGACACATGTGTCTCATATGAATGATATAATTTGACTCACTCAGCTGTAAGCATATTAGCATCTTTGGTATCAGTAAGTTCCCCCAAGTATTGCATGCCATTGTCAACTAACATCAAGATGTTGTGTAAGACATGCACAGTTCTACCAAAGTGCCTCCTATGATGTACCAGAGGATTGGCAACACTGCTGAGAAAAGAGGTAGGTGTCAGCTGGTTAGCAGAATGTCATGATCAGTGTTAGCACTCACGGTCTATGTCTGGGTCACAGTTGAAGGGCATTCTCTCTATCTTGTTGGCTTGATCTAAGCTGTGGGGAATTATGCTCAACAGGAATAGTGATCAGACAACTGTTGTAAAAGTATATGCTGTACACACATGTAGGCCTTTTACTGTTATGGAATTTGAACCAAGGAGCTTGCTTGCTTACATATTATCCTTTTAAGGCAATGACCATGGATGGTTAGTCCCTACTTTGTACCCTTAATGTTACACATTGATCTCCATTGCACACCTCTTGATCAATGTTTGGTATCTCTGGATTCAAGATCAGTTGTGCACTTGTAGATAGTTAATTAACCACCCTGACCTTGAGCTTGATCAACCAAATTCAGTGGCAAATGTGCTAATGCTGATGCTGTATCCAGCATATAAAACCTAGGTCAGTTTGCATGTACTAGTAATCAATTAGCCTCCATTTATTACTTGAATGCCAGAGACCATACCCTCAAGCTTGCCAAGCTGTTCAGAATTCAAAATGCTGTTTAGAGCCACCCTGCAGCCCTATCTTTGATGGATCCACAGGCAAGAAGTCCTATCAAATGGACTGTTCCTTCACTTTGATGCTGAAGCAGGCAACCTGTGGCCTTGGTTGTGGTAAATCCAACCACAGTATGGCCTAGAGCTACATCATTTAAACTCTATAATTAGGCCAATCTCGGAAGAAGGATGAAGAATTACACCTTTGGATATCACTAGTCATTGCCTGAAGTACGACTTCCTTAGCCTGTCTTGCTTATGTGCCATGGACTCCACCAATTGATGTACATACACAGAGGTTGCCATTGTGGTCACTGACAACAACCTTTGTGCGGGTGAATATGTGGCCATTTGCTGCAACTATACCTGTGGTTATTACAGTCAGTTATATTCCTCCAGGAGTCACAACATGCTGACCAATTATTACTGGTTGTTCAGTCAACATGGAGAAGATGTATTCCAGGAGCAGTTTGATGGTAAATAGATATTTCTTGTGAGGTACATCTTAGACTGGTTGGATCACATATGCATGTGCTGAATAAATATCAATTTTTGTAGATATTAATGCCGCTGCACCTCCACCTGTGCTAGATTCTCATCAGCTCCTTGAAGACAAGTGAACACCCATTGGTACATATCTGTGAATATCCAATGAACCCCCATTCATGTTATGATACACAATTTTCGGACCTTTAAGTTTCATTCTCCTCTTTAAATTTCTACTGTAGTTTTCACACACTGTGCCATGTGGCACTTTCCATTTTATTCAAACTCCACTTTCTTGCACTGCACTGCCTTTTGTTATTCTTAGCTACAAGTCTCACACGCAGTGGAGCTGGTCACACAGGCAGTGCCCCATGACATCATCAGCCACTGCCTTCATCAACTGTGTAGTGTAATGCACATGTACAAACAACCTGTAGTAGTATATATATCCCAATAGATCAAGGAGACTTCTCAGTGAGTCCTCCTGTTGTTTGCCCACAACAAACTTGGTCCCAATCCAAAGGGTAACCACTCCCCTCACTTATTTATAGCTTTATCTGAGTTGTGCGCCAGAGTATACAAACTCTTGGTTGTAACATTAGGACTCACTCTTTTTACTCTCTTGCACTTTGTGCAAACCCGGACCACAGGGTTAAGTGGACGTCTTTCGAACAGTAAGACTTGGGAGCCAGACCGGTATTGAGCATTTGCTAGCCAGCAGAAACTTGAGCATGTACCCCAATTTTGCTGTGAGCTCCTTGTTCCAAGGTACTAGAAAGAACCAAACAAATATACACGGCCCCCAGTGTTAAGGGGAGTACTTTAGCTCAGCAGTTGGTGTGGAACCACTGTTGATTAGTTTTAAAATACAAAAGAACTTCTTCTTTGAATACCTCTGACCAGGCTGGGCACTTGCCTCCGCCAGTTGGAGAAAGGTTGACAGCTTAACAAGCGGACCACCCCCTGACAACCATTTGGACCAGGGTTTATTACAAATACCTTTTATATATCAACACTCTGCTGCACAATATGCATGCACAGATTTTGGTGTTGACCACCCCCCTGAAGTGGTTGAGCAAAAATTTAACAAGAAAGTCGAGATTGTTGCTGACCCCAGCGCTTTTGAGGGAGACCAGGCTTGATTTGCAGAATGGTGGATCAAGCTCCAAATTTGGATAAAGACAAACTGGGATGCATTTGCTGACAACTTCAAGATAGTAATAACAGTGCTATCAAGACTAAAAGGACCTGTGGCAGTGTCTTGTTGATAAAGTGTTTGATATGGGATAGCTACCAAAGCTTCTTTATCCTAGGGTTACCGGAAGTTTACAACCTAAGCTGGACAACGTGTAATAACCTAGTTTGTTTGTGGGGTGGAAGTTAATGATCCCTTATGTTGTAAGTATGTCAATAGTCCTCGTGCTCTGGAAGACTAATATGACAATGGTAGATAGGTCCTTGGTGATATAAAGGACAAGAAAGACTATGTCCAATATTATCTAGTGCCTTATCAACGTCTCTCAAATGTGCATGCTTTGTCTCATTTTTTTGGGCGCAGAGCTTCCAGTCACTATTGAGCATTCTGGGCCATATTATAGTCACTGCTGCGGATGATCTGAGCGAGCGGTTGATAAGCTCAAGAGTATCTGAAGATAATTATTGTGATTGAAGACAAACATGAGGTGATGGTGGAAAGCAATTGTATTACATAATCAGAATGGCAATACCATGACTATAGTACCACTGCCAAACCTTAAAAGGAGGAACTGAATGAATATCACAGAGCATGGGCAGACAAATACATAGATACAAGTAAATTTCTATTTGTAGTCTATCAGAAAGAGTATCACTGTTTACATTTGTGCACATGACCAGCAACAGTGTGAATGTTCCCTTGCATAAGCAAAACTATGGGCCTAGGTACATTGTTGTAGGTAAGTGAGATGGGTCCAGACTGTACAATTGCTTGAGAGAGACCTGTGTCATTAGAGTTAGAAGTACATTTGAACCAGTATTGCCTGGTGCATCAGGTGCATAAGGTACACTGGGTACTATATTGTTCGAGGTGAGCATGTTGGGAGGTGATCCAGGAGGGGCAGTGACCGGTGTAGTGAAGGCTGGAGTACTGGGGATAATGGCAGGTACATCCCATGGCCCATTGAGTGCATGTACACATTTGTCAACAGACATACCAAAGCATGGTGCAGGGGACCCTGACAAATGTATATTAATAATAAAGGCAGGAATACTGGGGATAATTGCAGGTGCATACTGAAGCCAGGAACAGGAGGAGCTGTGGCTGGTATGTTGAATGCTGGAGCACTGGAGGTGATGGTGGTGGATACATTACCAAAGCTGGGGACATTGAAGCCAGGCATTGTAATACTGGGTGCATGTACATTGTTTGGAGCTGCTTCAGCATCTGACACCTGCCTTTAAGCCTTCACCAAAATGGTGGCTAGAATAGTGAAAGCCATAATCTGGATACACATCATTGCCATTGGGATCAAAACTGGAGCCCTCACTAACACCAGATACATGGTGATCTGAAATAAGAGTTGGCTGGGATAAAGTTTCAGGGTGAAAACCTGTAAAATTCCATTCTCCATAACTGGAATATGGGTCATTTTGAAGAAAAACATCATTCCGGCCATATACATATTTGCTGTGAACCAGAAGCAACAGGTTGATCCTGCTCATAGTGTACATAAAAATCATTTGTAAACAAGTAATGTATAGCATAGATGATACTTACAAGCTGTGATGATAAGATGCTAGCACTGGTGTTGTCAAAGCTTGAGTAATTTCTTCATATTAATAATCCAGGTGAGGGCCAGAGGTACAAAATGATTTTGCAGCAAACAAAGGCTGTGTTATGGAAAACACCAACCAGACACTGGCAAGCAGTGATCTGAATTCAAAAACAAAGACAAACCTATAGCTATAGCTATAGTAACACTCCCAAGAGGATCCCTGGGTACGAGAGTGTAATCTGTCAGCTTACGGTAATATTAATTACCAATAGGTTGGTTTCAATAGACACTTACTTGCCTACAGCCTGAAAATGCAAACACCAGTCCTAAACCTGATATGCTATCTAGACATAGGAGTACTGATCAAAATATTAACCATCAACGTTAACAATATCAATATTGACCATAATACCATGGATGTGGTGGTGGTTAATAAAACTAAGTGAAACTCAGCCACTGCCCGAGAGGCTATAGAAACAACTTTATTATTTACCTAAATGAAACTACAATAGATGTTAGTTTAAGGTGATCTCTAATAAATATAATGTAACATACCTCAGCCGCTGCCCGAGAGGCTATAGAAACAACTGAGGTATTCCTATACTAAACCCCCTACTACTTATAGTCGGAGGTGCTACTCGCTACAGTATAATGACTCCTAGGAGTACAATTGTGCTCCTAGGAGAACAATGGTTACTCCATGGAGTGGTGGCTATGCTCCATGGAGAACAATGGCTGCTTTGGCAGAGACCGGGTTTATCCGGTTTTGTCAGTGGTGTGCACATATTAATAAATTAGGATGCTGGCTGTAGGACCCCAACCATGTTCAAAGGGGTCTTGTCTAGCTCTCATCCCACCACCAAGGCTCACTCCCACATATTGATTTTTACATAAAAAAAAACAAGTTCCCTGCAGACTCAACAGATCCCACCAATTGCAGTTTACCCTAGAAGTATCTGATGTTTACAAACTGAAAGAGAATGCCCATTACTCACTCTAGATCTGATCATCACATGTCTTATGGCAAGGATACTGGAAGGATCAACATGAACAGATGGGTGCATACAGTTGATAAGTCCTCACCTTCTATTTTCTCACCATGCAATTGCACATTTTCCTCAAGTGGTCAATCATTTTCTGTTATATTATTGAGTCACTCTTGTTGTGGCAAAAAAAGGGATTAAGGACATTAAAGATGATGCTTTACATGAGGAGTATAAAGCTGCTACAGATGTTGTGAGGAAGGTAAGATCAGTTTTTTAAATTTTAGTTTATTATCACTTTAACATATTTGCTTCAGGCCTGTCTCTCATCATCAAGCCATAGTGATTCTTTGGGTGCAATAAAACAAAGTCTGGCCACTGCTTATCAGTCACGCACAACTCTGCAAGTGGTTGTGCCAACAACTTTTGGACCTATTTGATGGTAGGCCATTAGGAGCTTGACCAGGTCAGCGAGGGAGTCAGTAGACTACGCCAGCTCACATGCCGTGCCTGCATCCTGGAAAATGGCAACTTGATGGTGCCTAGTGCTGGACAATAATACACATTGAGCAAGCCTCCCACTGGACAAAATATGTACAACTACAACATGTCTTACACTGGATCTCATATGCTTAGTGGGCCCTTGATGCAGATTGCATTAGTCAGAAACGTGTAGGCTGCCAGGTGTATCAATAAGAAGTAAGCCTTTTCTTCTCTTTTCCAGCAGTTTATTGAACATATCTGGCTGCTATTAAGATTTTATCTTTGTCGGACTCACACTATCCTTATTCACATTTGACCTGTTTTTTTACTGTTGTTGAACCTCATCATCTTTGTTTGTGTCTAACAATTGGATATTGTAGTGCGTCATGTAATTATTTATTATCTGCCCACGTGGCCGGGATTGCAATAACTAAACATATATGGGTGAAGTGAGTTAAATAAGAATTGTGTCCGTGTTAATGTACAATGCATATGAATTGTGCAGCCTTGAGATAATGATCCGTGCTATGAGTACTTAGTTTCAGTGATTTATATCCTCATCCTCCTCATATCTTTCATTGCAATCATATCCCCTGTCCTTGTGATAAAACTTGTTGGCTTGCAGGTCCTCCATACACTAAACTTTCTTGGAACATTCATTGCTTGGCAGGAGATTTCTCCTCTTCCGGGATTCATTTTTGCGACAATTACTTAAATATTGCTTGACAAGCTCTATGGTTGCACAATCATTTTGGAATTTGATCAGGTAGGAGTGTTGATGGTGTGCCTTTTGGTAGGGATTTTTTGTCAAAAAACTTTAGGTGGACTTGTCGGACTTATCAGCTTGAAGAGATTTCCCAAGTCTTTTAGGGCTTGATGGCGGTATTCAGCATGTAAGTCCAAGCAGATCTCATGGACAAGATCTCAAATGGTTGACTGCAAAGCTCACTAATAAGAGGGTACTGATGAGTACAAGAACAAAGAGTTGGTGGCAAAAATGAATTATCGGAACACTGAGCATGAGCACAAACCAGGTCTGACCACAGATATCATGGATGGCAAAGTTTATTGAGACTTGCTGGGGAAAAAAGTTGTAGTGGATGGGAGAGAACTGATACACCAATATTTTTTGGACTTGAGAGACATTGCATTTAGCCTATCAACCAATGGGTTTGCTCCTTTCTACCACCAAATATCCACTATGTGGCCAATAATTGTATACAACTACAACCTACCTCCAGAGATATGATTCCTGAGGGACTATGTGATATATGTGGGTGTGTTTCTTGCTCCAAAAAAGCCAAGTGACTTTGACTCATCCTTCTGGCCGTTCATAGAAATGATGTTGAGATTGTCAATTGATATACCTGCAATGTCAATGCTAATGAAGATGAAAGGACATAATAGTTACTCATCATGTTACATATGCAAGGTCACCGGAGTACATGCACCAGGAAGCAAGAACAAAACCTACTATGTCCCTCTGCACAGAAATTCAGGTCCAATATTATCCAACAAAATAAATTTTGATGCTGCCAGTCTTCCCCTTTGAAGTCACGAAGAAATTCTGTTACAAGGGCAAAAGGTTCAACTAGCTGTCAATAATATACAATCACATAAGCTAGCCAAAAATTATGGAATTCAAGGTATACCTGTTACAATTGACATACCAGCACCTACTTATGCTTCACTTTTTGTACTTTTACTTTTCATTTTCCAAGTCACATGACTGATCATGTGATCATTTACTCTACTTTACATTTTCGGACTTTTCCTAGTCACATGCTAGACATCGGACTTTAAACTTTATTTACAACTGTACAATACCTCATGTATTTTAGTATATATACTGGAGCAATACATGGGGAGAGACTCAGCGAGCCCTCTTCTAGTGTATACCAACATTAGTATGACAACCTCCCTCCTTTGATAGGTTGTACACTTCCTCTCCCTCCATTGAGTTGTTGTTTTGGTTGTGCTCCAGTGCCCCAAGACTGTGTCTTGTTGGTGTTGTCACAATACCAATACTATATTATTTATTGTCTCCAGCATTCCATGCATCATTCCCCTACAACTTCATGCATCTGCTGTGAAAGAACGTCATCCCTCACTTGGTACTCTTTTGGACAGGAGAGTATAAAGGATTGGATCAAGGTAAAAAAACTTAACAACTGGATAAGAGCATATGGGATTTGGTTGGAAAGGCCACAGTGGAATCAGATTCTACAATACCTAGTGCATATGGTGCAAACCCTCCCAATATTGCCAAAGATTTCTCCATCAGCATGGCGGAATCATGGTTGTTCTGGGCAATGTATTTAGCACCAATTATCCTCCGTCAAAAGTTTCACCAGCAAGAATATTACAACCATTTTATCAAACTCATCAGAATCTTCATCAGGAAAACATGGTTTTACTATAAGTGCTAATAAGTACACACTAGTTCATAATTTTTGCTATTATAGCAAATATATTAACCATATCAGTTCATATCAGTTCATATCAATTAGTACAACTAGTAGACAGTCACTTGTACTATAGCATACTATATCATACTATTTTGCATTTAGTGTGTACTTTTTGTATCTAGATTGATTTAAAGCACAGTGTTAAAACACAAAATGACTGTGCTTAGGTTGCTCTAATAAGCTTTATTTTACTTTGAAACAGATACAGAGTATATTATAATTATTATACTATAGATTTAATATACAAAGTAACAAGTATAGTGTACTATTTAAATATACAACTACTCAAATGTAAAGCCTGAATACGCTACTAAAAAATCAGAAACAAATAAATTGTGTATAAAGGAACATAACTTATCATATAAAAATTCCACACTGGTACTAACCTTTGAGACATTATAGACAGCATTGAAGGCTTTTAAAATTCAAAGTTATCATGATGAAGTTATATTAGTTTAGAAAAATTGTATAGGTACTTAAAACTTATCCCGCACTTGAAGGTCATGCAAGACAGTGAGCGGGGCAGGCGGGGGGAGGGATTGTGCTGCCAGCACAATCCCACTTTCTTACAGCCTGCCCATTGCACACCACAACCTTGAAGAGCCTTCCACACTTTTGTAGACAGTGTAGAGTGCTCTGCAGATATTCCAAGCTCTGCTCCAATATGGCAGAGCATATTGGACATAATGAAGTGGAGTTTAAAATGACAAAACCGGATAAACCCGGTCTCTGCCAAAGCAGCCATTGTTCTCCTAGGAGTCATTATACTGTAGCAAGTAGCACCTCCGACCATAAACAGTAGGGGGTTTAGTATAGGAATACCTCAGTTGTTTCTATAGCCTCTTGGGCAGCGGCTGAGGTATGTTACATTACATCTATTAGAGATCACCTTAAACTAACATCTATTGTAGTTTCACTTAGGTAAATAATAAAGTTGTTTCTATAGCCTCTCGGGCAGCGGCTGAGTTTCACTTAGTTTTATTACTCTGGTAGTGCCTCTTAATGCCACCGAATGGGGGCTCCCGCATGCCTGAAGCGGATTTTATTATCAATATATTGATCCACCATCATCAATATTGAATTAGGTCAACAACGGAGACCAGGGTCCTAGTAATTTCGGACGGTGAAAATATTGGTCACCGATGCCTGTGGCAAGGAATCCTCGTGTTCTTGACGCGACTTCCTTTTTTCTGGTGGTTTTCATTAGCATACTAACTGTACATTACACACTTATCACCGTTTCGCCCCTCGTTGCCAAATTCCTTCCTGTTATCGCCAATTCCCAATACATGCCCAACAATAAATCTGGACCTACTCAATATTCAGCTTTAGACATTACTAGCTCCCTATCGAAGCCAGATCCCGAGGCTGCCGCTTCGCGTATGTCTGACATCGCTCTGCGGAAGAAGAAGAATGCGGATGCACAGGCCGCTTTTCGTCAACGGTAAGTGTCCTCGTTGTGGGCAGGCATATTATGTATATATTGACTTTGCTCGTAGAAGGGCCAATTATATCGCGACGTTAGAGGAGACAGGTTGGACTATCCAATTGTTTTATTGGGCGGTTGTTGATGGTCATGATTTATCCACCTTAATTCATCCTAGTCACCAGTTTAGAATCAGTCGTTCTCCAGCTACAAGATTCATGCCGGGAAGCTCGCTCTGAAGCAGCTGATTTGCGACAAGGCAATATACGCCTGAGACAAGACTTTCGTGAACGGGAGAGCTTCTGGAGAGCACTTTGGCAAGCTAGGAAAGGAGGACAAGTCACAGAGGCAGATGATTTAGATTTACCTCCATTGCCATCTTCCTTCGCTACGCTGCAACACACCAACTCTGCTGGCCAAATCGCTCAGACCACTATCTCTACTGTTAATCAATACCGGGATGAAGGTACAGTATACCAATCAAACGATGAATCATCCAATGGTTTTTGTCGTGATTCATACGGGGCAGGTTCCAGTCAAAGCTATGCAGATCACTCCCCTTCGCTGTCTTATTCGGGTGCGGAAAGGTCGCAGCAGGGTGAAGGATCCTCTCACCATTATTCTCTTTATGATCGAATATCAAAACAAAATGAATACAATTACCCTGTATCGAATTCTACCTGCGAGGCGGCCCCTTGGTCTCACAGTATTCAAAATAAATCTTCCTCCGGTGAATATCAGGCAGTCCTTCGTTTATATTCGACTGATGAAGTCCCGTAGAATCCCCCATGCTGACGACAGAAATGTCGTACAACAGTTGTTACTCTGATGACCCGAAGTTGCACTTGAACACGTTGGATACCGCTCCTTATATTTTCTCTTCTAGCAGATCACTCTCTCCATCCACGTCCACACCCCCATCGTCTTCGACTACGTCATTGACGTCCACATTCCAGTTTTCGTTTCCTGATGGTTCCATTACTCAGGATCATCACGATTTCGAATTTCACGGGCACACAAGTGCTCATAGTGCTGAGGTCACGTTACACGGTGGTACAGCTGATATTTCAGTTCGTGGTTCAGGTAGCGATGGAGTCCGTTACAGAGTAGGCGCTCGGCGCGCAAATTCTGGGCCAGAACGCCCCTTACTTCCTGCCATTCCTTACTTTTCAGGAAGCGATAATAGCTCTCAACACGAACGAGGAAGTAGCGAGGGAGAAGGAACATATTCTCATCACCTTAGATCGCGACCTCATCGAGGGACCCCCCAACGAGAGTCCCGGTCACCATCACCAGGAGCGCCACCAATATCAGGAACTCTTGCTGTCATTAAGGCTCAAGCATTCGGTGCACTTCGCAGAACTCGTGTACGAAGTAAAAAGTCTTCAGACGGTGCTGCCAAGGTTGCCATGGAGGTGTTGGAAGCTAGAGGGATTGGCATGGGCGTGGGGGGGGGCATAAGTTCAAAGAGGCCTCGCTTACTCGATGATACTGAAGTGCTGACGTGAGCACAATGGTTCGCTTGTCAAGTGGTAATCTTCGGACGTCTGAATTGGTATACCGCTCCATTTGCACAATTATTAAATTTGCGACAGTGAAGGGTACTTGATCGAAGTAAACGCTGAAAATATTTTAGGCGCCTGAACAAAAGAAAAAAGTGGTGATTTGTAAGCATCTTGCACCACGCTTACGAAAACATTTTGAAATTTTTGAAAACCCATGTTACTAACTTATTCTGTACTGCTTTCATCCCATCTCCTCTCGACGACGATGACAATGGATTCAATGAATTCATTTTGGGAGACAATGGAACCTCCCAAGGCCATCTCATCATCAAGTGGACGGCGGAGCAAACTGAATGCCTCTTAGATTGGTTGGAGCACCTGGAACCTACAGGTCCAGGAATAGGACAACTGAATACATAACACTACATTTATAAGCAGCCATGCTGCATGTTACCACCTCAGTTCTCAAATACTCAGACTGGAGTGAGCAGCATGTTTGTTACTCTACTACATACAGTTTTACTTACAGTCTATTAGTCTTCTGTTCATCAGAATTATAGAGGCATTTTCTGTTCTCAAATTTTCAACAAGGTGCCGGCAAGGAGGGTAGGAATAAAGGTCAGGCAAGGTTTAACAAAGTTGTCATTCATGGGGGTAAGACTGCCAAGTGTATCTTTGCTGTAGATGGAGATCCCTCTATTTGTGCTGCCTTCAAATCCTGCCCAAATTTTCAAAGGCAGTCAAAAACCACCTGACAAAACCGGATAAACCCGGTCTCTGCCAAAGCAGCCATTGTTCTCCATGGAGCATAGCCACCACTCCATGGAGTAACCATTGTTCTCCTAGGAGCACAATTGTACTCCTAGGAGTCATTATACTGTAGCAAGTAGCACCTTGAATACCTCAGTTGTTTCTATAGCCTCTTGGGCAGCGGCTGAGGTATGTTACATTACATTTATTAGAGATTATCTTAAACTAACATCTATTGTAGTTTCACTTAGGTAAATAATAAAGTTGTTTCTATAGCCTCTCGGGTAGCGGCTGAGTTTCACTTAGTTTTATTATATCATAACACAATGGGATCCGCACCCGTGTACAGTGATTCTGGACCTTCTGAGCATGCAACCAATCAGTATGCTTTCCAAGTACGCCTTGGTAGCTTAGTTGGTAAAGCACCAGACCATTAAAGCTGGAGTCCCAGGTTCAAGCCCTGGCCAATGCATGTTTTCTCATACTATAAACAAATGTCATAATTTGTCACCACCTTATTTCATAAGTTTGTTTTCACTTACATGCTTGACATGCTTGATTAAATACACTGATAGTTCACATAATACAGGCTGATTAAAATGTACCCAAAGTCCTGTGAGACACTAGGACACACTAGCGCTGGTTTTACTTGTGAGAAACAGGGGAATCCCAATTACAGGGGGCTAATTGGTGCGTTTATACAGTAATTTTTATAGTGGTTCTCTATAACACATTAACATTAATGTCAGGTGCAACCCCTTCACAATGTCTTCAAACCTAGGCCAGGATCACAAGGCATAAATGTACGAGCTTTACTTTACAAAAAAGCTACCAGAAATTCTTTGGCCCAAGTGCTTCAGGGCTTTTCTCTGGCACCTACCATCAATCTTTGTCTTCTTTGTTTCAAGCTAATCATTCATTTTTGTTGTTTGAGTCTATGTTCCCACCTGATGCACAAAGTCAACCCCAGCCCCAAGCTCCAATGTCTCCCTTGTCAGGCCCTCCATTATCTCCTTGTCTTCTTTATCGGGTCCTTTTGGCAACCAATCCCCAACTGCCTTAGTTCCCATTTTCAAGGCCACTTCTAGTTCTTTTGCTTCACTCAATTTTGGCTCTCCTTCATCTCATCCACTTCTATCTATGAAGATACCTTTAGTGCCTGAATCAAGTAGTGTGCTTGTTGGGTGTACACTGTGCCTTGGGCAAGCTTTTCCACACCAATGTCTAAACAAATCTATTTTTGAATAAATATATGTGCATCAACGCACACCTTGGGATTTTGCTAGGAAGTGACTCTCACTGAGGGCAAAATCCCATATTTTCTATTATATATTTTTAAAAACACTTGAAAAACAGAGACAATGTTTCGTTGCCTGTTTCTCTACATAACACTGGAAATATTTTGCTCACTGTTTTCTCAATATTTTGTCATAAAATATTAGAGAAAACATCCAAAATGTACTGTCACAAAACATTTTGTGTATTTTCCCCAATTTCTCTTAAGAAAACATTGAAAAAATATTGAACCAAAAATCTCCAACATTATTTAAAGAAACATGCTGAAAAACAATGTCGCTATTTTTCAAGTGTTTTTCAAATATTTCATTATAAAACATAGGATTTTGCCCCCAGTGACTGAAACAGAAGAAGAAATATCAAAAGAAACAGGTTTTATGCTTTATTATTTTCTATATTTTTATTTTTATTGCTACCAGAATCAAGCACCCTATTATTTGTCTCACCCCTAGAGAGATGCTGGTGCAGCAGAAGTACTATAAATATCACACTCACCTTTCTGGTTACAAGTACATACCTCTGATAATAGATTAAGAAATTTGGGAGCCACCCCATATCCTTTATTGCTCATGCAACACCCCAGACTTGTTGTGGTTTACTTCACCACTTTGTAGAGCAATGGTACCCAAGTTTCCTATGTTCCAAATTCTTTTCCCTGAACCTTCATTTCAGCAACCTGTTAGTCATGAAAAAAGGCTTGGATTGTGTTGTATGAATGACAGGCCAATTTATTGAGCCAATTGTCCGACTACTCATTTTCTAGTTGGCACCCCTGGCACTGCTGGTTGTTGTGGTTTTGGGCGGCACCTCATTTTTACAGTCTCAGGACATGTATCCCTCTTCGCCACAATTGTAACAGTTTCCCTTGAATTTGTGCATCTGCCCTTCCTGGACTGTGTCAATATCCATAGGGGCACCCTGCCCTAATTGCAGCCTGAATGGCTTGAACCCATGAGAATGATTTTGGTTTTGCTTTGATGTCCCAGGTTGGTCAGTTACTGGAGGTATAGTACTCCTGGAGTTTTACTTCGCCTGAAGTTCACCAAGCTGTGTCATCAACCGCACAATTTGCTGCCTCATCCTGTGAAGGAGGGCATTAACATTGATCTGTTCTGGTTGCGCCAACATGGCAATTTGTTCTCTTGGTAAAGTCAAAACAAAATGTAACTAGGGGTACCCACTTGCTATCTGCAGATCTACCTCTTCCCAGCTGAGTATCAGATCTCAATCTCTGACTACTCACACTACTGTATTTGAAAAAGTATATAAAAAGTAAATGTACTAAACCCTGGCCTGAATAGTTGTCAGGGGGTGGTCCGCTTGTGAAGCTGTCAACCCTTCTCCAGACTGGCGGAGGCAAGTGCCCAGCCTGGTCAGAGGAAAACAAAGAAGAAATTTATCTAAATCTACATTAACACTGATACCGCTAAATACTACTCCCCTTAACACTGGGGGCCATGTATTGTTTGTATTTTGAGGGACCAAATATTGACCTCAGTTGCCTATTTCCTCAGAACAAGAAGCTCATCTTGAACTGAGGTTCTTGGACCGTCCTCTGTTTATTTTATGCTGAGGTGCATAGCCACTTAACCCTGTGGACTGGCTTTCCACAGTGTGTGGGAGAGTAGTAAGGGTGTGTCATAGTATAACAACTAAAATGTTTATACTTTAGTGTAACTAACACAAGCAGAGAGGGTAGATGAAGGAGTGGATAAACTCCCTTAGGTAGGATTGAGTTAGTTATTGGTAGGAAATAGGAGGACTCGCTGAGGAGTCTCCTTGATCTACTGGGGTATTTGTACATGTTTACTATACAGTTAATTCACTGAGCAACAAAACTGTCTCAATGTTAGCAATATTTTGATTGTTGAGTGAATAACTCATGTACCATTGATGCTAGACCCTTAAATTCACATATCATTAGAAAGCCCTGATCAAGAGCTTCTAATGATATATACATTGCTTAGGTAAGATGGATGCTAAACTCACCACACAGATTGTAGAGGATGAGTTGCAACAAACTCTCCAATATTATGGGTTATCCCCTGATGATATTATCTTTCAACCAGACAATGACCCCAAGCATACTAGCAGAAGGGACAAAGTTATGGTATGACCACATTAGTCTCCACACCTTAACCCCATAGAATATCTATGGTTTTTACTCAAAAAAAGGCTGGCTGAGTATTCAGAGCCCCTTCAGGTATA